CCCACGCTTGGCATGCTACATCATGTGTGCCCTGAATCCATCCAGTTCCCACTGCTGAGGATATGTACAGGCTGTTCTCCCTGCCAGGGGTGCTCGTCCCTCTTCCCTGCACACGGTGAACCCTCTATTACACACATCGTCAAGTTCTGGCATCTCCCAGGCAGAATTCATTCTTCCTCTGTGTGAGCCAATGCGCCGAATAACCTGTCTGCTCCTGCAAATCTGTTCTTCTCTCTGGGTCTTCAGCCTCATACTCCTCTGTCCTATTCTAGCTGTGTGACCTTGAGCAAGCTACTCAACCTCTCTGGGTCTGTTTCTGCATCTGGAAAATGGGGGATATAGTTCACTCACGAAGTAAAATATCCTCAGGATATACCTGCTCTCAAAGGCTTTTGAGATGATTAAATGTCAGTATATGTAAAGGACTTAGAAAAGTTATTTCTGGGGCATGGGAGACACTCAACAAATGTTACTGTTAGCTAGCGTGACACCCTTCTCCCTCCCCTAACCACCCCCCAACCTTACGTGTCAGCATGGCCTCACCACCTGGCCTCCACCACCTTTCTGACCTTGCCTCCTACCCCTCCCTCCACTAGGCTCCAGCCACACTGGCCTCCTTCACGGTCCTTGAGCATGCCAGGCACAATCCCACCTCAGGGCCTTTGCACCAGCTGCTCCTTCTGCCTGGTACACTCTTCTAGACATTTACAGTTCCCTTCCTGACTTTCTTCAGGCCTCAATTCAAGAGTCACCTTCTAAGTGAGGCCTGCCCTGTGCCTAAGATTTCAACCACCCCGATACTGCATTCCCACCTTCCCTACTTCACTTTTCCTTCTTAGCACTTGCAGCACTAACATACTACCTAATTCGATTTATTTATATAGTCTGTCTCCCCCCATTCTTAGCAAAGGTCTGCTCCACAAAGGCAGGCATTTCTGCCTGTTTTATTCCCTCCCGTAGCCCCAGCACCTAGAAGGAGGCCTGGTACTCGGAAGGTGCTCAGTCAGTGTTTGTCGAATGAACAGTCCCGACTAACTCCTCTCTTAACTAGCTCTCACATGCCTTCTCCATCTCCACTGGCCCCCGAGCCCTGATTTGTCTGAAATTATATGTTTTCCCACTCATTTGTGCGATAAATTCTTATTGAGTATCTACTACGTACTAGGTATATTTTTAGGTGCTGGAGACCCAGCAGTGAATAAGCAGACAAAAACCGTAAGCCCTCATGGGACTCCCGTTCTAATGGGCAAAGAGAATCTATATGATGAACACGATGAACTGGTAAGCGACACAGTGGGTCTGATGGTGATAAAGGCCAGAGGCACAAATAAAGCAGAGAAGGGGCTGAGTCCTGCTGGGTGTGCAGGTTCAGATGGTCAGGGACGGGTTGACATTTGAAAGGAACCATGCAGAGAAGCGGGTGTTCTGGGTAGAAAAATAGCCAACGCAAAGGCCCTGAGGCTGGATCATACCTGGTGCATTTAAGGTAAGTGAGGAGGTCAGCATGGCTGGAACAGAGTTGGGGGCGGGTAGGAGGTAAGGCCGGAGAGATTACTTGTTTTATGAACTCGCAGGTATTCTTTATTTAAACTGGAGTGATTTGAGCTCTGATTCCCCCATTTGACACACGAGGAAACCGGTGCAGAGAGAAAGTGGTTAAATCACTAAGGTCACAGGGCTGCTGAGATGAGGGGGGATGGAGGGGTGCTGTGGAATGAAGACAGTTCTGCTGGCAGAAGGAACAGCAAAAACAAAAGCTTGGCAATGGGAATTCATTTGGTATTTAAGGAGTGGGGCCTCAAGTGGGGTGGGATGAAGTGAGAGAGGAAAGCCTCAAAAATTATCCTAGGTTCTGAGGGGCAACCTCACCTGGTACTTCCTGGGTCACCTTTGAGTAAGGTATTCGACCTCCCTATGCCAGACTTTCCTCAGTGCCTAGCTCACAGGGTTGCGGTGTGGATGAAATAAGCTCATCAACATATAGCATCTTGCCTGGTACACAGTAGGTGCTCAATAAGTGTTGGCTCCTAGGGCACTGTCACTACCACTAATGTGTTCATTTAGTGGAGTGGGGCAGGATGTCTTAGTGGTTAACAGTGTGTATGGGGGGGTGTTCCAGAGTGAAAAAGACCTGGGTTCAACAAGCACACAGGCTGAGCCACTATTGAGGAGGGAGGGGGGCAGGGAAGGCCACAGACTGATCCACCACAAGGAAAGGAGGGGGGAAATAAAAGCACACAGGCTGACCCTCCTGGAGGGATTAGAAAGCACTGATCTCATAGGAGAGGATACTGGAGAGGTGTGAATGCCAGCACATGGGTAGCAGGAAGGCCAATGAACAGAGCCACTGCAAAGGTGGGAATGGGGGTGTGTGTGTAAAGGCTCATTTTACTTACTAGGGGCAAGGAGAGCAGAAAAGCACACTGACTTCACAATAGTGGAGGGGAGAAAAGCCATCACACAGACCGCTTAAAAGGAGAGGGGACAAGGCCACGGACTAGGCTACTGAAAATGGGGAGATAGAAAGCACTAAACTGATCCACTATTAAAAAAGGAAGGGAGAAGCCCAAGGACTGGAGTGACAGTCTACAAAAAAGGGAGAATAGGGCAATCATCTGATAAATAGGGGGACGTGAATACAAGCATGTAGACTGATCCACTGTAAAATGATGTGTGTTTGTGTGTGTGTGTGACATAGCCATGGACTGAAGCATTGGGGGATTGAAGGCAGGAATACAAATTCACAGATTAACTCACTGTAAAGGTGGAGGTTACAATGCCACGGATTGACTCACTACAAGGAACAGGAGGGGTGATAAAACAAGGCCACAGACGGGGCCCCTGAAAGTTGAGGACAGAAATACAAACACTCAGATGCACCTACTGTCAAGGAGTTGGACATTGTCAGAGACTGGTTCCCTGTAACCGGGGGTAGGGGGTAAGATCACGGACAAGTCTACTGTAAGGTGGGGTGGGGAGAAATATTAGCACGCAGACCGATCCATTATAAAACAGGAAGGGGGGTTAGGCCACAGTCAGATCCACTACAAGGGGCCAAGAGAGGGGGCAATGCCACAAGCAGGTCCACTAGCCGTGGTGGTGGCGGTGGGGAGTTGAACACCAGCAGGCCACGGGCCAAGCCACATCCCCCCGCGCGGGGGCGGGAAGGATACGTGGGGTCACGGACCGGGCCCTCCACCCTCCAGGCCCCGGGCTCACCTGTGCGTAGCGCAGCGGCGGTGTTAGCAGCTCCGGGGGGCGGGGGCTCCATGCGCGGCCCC